TCCAACAGTTCCATGTCCTTCTTGTGCTGAGGGCTCCAGAGCTGAACGCAGTAGTCCAGGTGAGGTCTCACCAGAGCAGAGTAGAGGGGCAGAATCACCTCTCTCGACCTGCTGGCCACGAGTACCTGAGTATTTCCCAACAGAATAATAGTATAGATAACTTCAGAGTTCTTACAACACAAAATATAAAATCTGTTTAGAGCCCATTACTTTGTCTGTTAAAGGATCTAATCCTCTTCGTACATAAAATAAGTAATGTTACAAGTACTGAGATCACAGTGTGATACAGCTGTGATGTTTTATCCTTTGCTCATCATTAAAGCATTGAGAAGTATTTATGTTTTATTAGCCACTGAATTTATGGCAGTAGATTAACATTCTGATATTCAGAAACTAACACAGGGTGACAGAATCTGCATTCAGAGCTCTGTGGCCTTTCTGAATCCTGTTGATCTAGATATGTGTTTTATCATGTGATTTGTTTTTTGTCTCTTATTTGCAGCATATTTCATCTTTGCCTGTTGGTTTCTTTCTCTAGTTTTTTGCTCTTTCTATAATTTTTCTAGGAGAACAAAGGTTCACATTTGGCAATATTTCTTGTTTTTAGCAGGGAATCTTATTTTGGATGAAATGGCTGCTGAAAACACTGAGAAATTTCCTGACATAAAGATGCAGGAATGTCACAAACGAAGTAAGTGAAAAACAGTGAGAGTTTGAAAGGCTGTAGTGTTTGAATTCTAAATTTACATTACAGTACTTTGGTTTTGACACAGCCTCAGTGCATCTCTCATGTAGTTCTTCACGGTTACAACCAGATCTGCCTCCTCTGTCTTTGCTCATCCTGTGTGGGCTGGGAGCGAAAACAGCTCCCCCAGGCACATTCTTTACAATTCGCCAAATTTGTTGTGCTGTAACATGACGTTAAGTGTCTCATGATAAAAAAAGGGAAGAAGTATCTGTGTGACAGTGTTAGCTTTATTTCAGTGTATCTATAGCTTAGCAGCGTTAGCTGAACGATTCCCTCTTTAATAGCAAGAACAACAGCAAAAATCTTTAATTACTGGCACAAAAACCTGCAGCCTAATTGAAACTTCATGGTCAGAGTAAAACAATATGAGGCTTTTCACATTCATGTTGTATACATTGGACTTGCGCAGTTCTGAAATAGCTGAATTGAAACTGATAACACCCCCTTCTACTTCCAAAAGTTAAAATAAGTTTGCATGGTGTAAACTTAAAATTACCAAACTGGTTCAATTTTTGTTGCTTACTATCACCTTTCTTTCTTTCAGCCTTCTTAGGCTCTGCAGAGAGTTGTTCCGATGCTTCAGAACCCAAATACAGGAAAACTGGTAAATTATTGGCTGAGTAGGAAAATATTATTCAACTTATGTTGTCTCATGTTCCAAGGTCTCATCCTCTGTTAGGTATTGTAACTCTACCTTCCAGGGTGAGTTGGCTGTCATAGATTTGATGATACAGCATCGTTGTGCATTTTCATGTTTCTACTTCCAGCACAGTAGAAATCACTGCAGAATCACACTCTTATACACCTCTGACTAAATTACGATGCAACAAATCCATGCCCTCTTATCAGTAGCTATTAACCTGTGCATCTCAGGACCAGCTACATGGTAGCCTGGGAACAGTTGTACCCTTGTGCTCCAAAAGCACATGTTCCTGCCGGGTGATGGAAAATTACTTCCTTAGCATCAGCAGAGGCACAGTTGAACTCTTCTAAATCCATCTGAGAGAAGAAAGCAAAACAGTGGAGAACTGGGTCAGTGCCAAAGTTTGTAATTTTTGTCACGTACACCTTTTGTTTATGACGGGTAATGGGACTCAGGCTATATTTTGGCATTTCCTGGGTTTTGATCCTCTTTGTTCTAAGTATGACACCTTCCAAAAATCCAGTGAAACATCCTAGTGAAAATAATAACTGTGAAGAGACAGATTCTTGGCCCAGCCCATGCTATACAGTCCTTGAAACCAAAGTAAGAATGGGAGAAAGGGAAATTTCTGAGTGCTGCATGCTGTTAGAACATCTACAAGGCAGGACCTGTGGCCAGCAGGCAGGCTGTAACTCGTTCTTAGTGCCTCAGGCATAGCTAAACCAGTGAAATACTCTTCCAAAATCTGTGTGAGAGCAATCACCTTTGGGTGAATATATTATACTGTGTTTTGAAGTGACATATGCATTACTGTATGCTAGCAAACTTCCCAAGCCTCCTAAGGGGAACTCTGACTGTACCAAACCCCATGGGCCATGTACATGTCATGGTGGGCAGCCAAAATCAGCGTGTAACCTAGAGAGCCATCCAGAGAGTGCCTGGATCATGGGACTATGCCTCAGCAAAGTTCGGGCCAACAGCTGTCCAGCAATTCCTAAGGAACTGGCCTAGACTGGATGAAAGTCAGAGAGAGCACACACACGCACTGGGACTGTGACCCAAGCTGGTTTTCCAATGTTTGTGAGGGAGACTGAAAAGAATTAGCTGTGAAAAAAATACATCTGCTGGATCTGGAAAGGTAATCAGGGCTCCTACTGAACTGGTGCCTGCTGGTTGCAGTTATTTAGATGCAGGTAAAGTTCCTGGCAGTTAGTACCATTAAAGGTGGATTACCTTCTATCTGCCTGAATTCCTTGATAGGTTTTGATGCTTTTTAAGACCTGTATTTATGCCACAGTAACAATGAGAGTTTTCAATAAGGAAATGACACATTTAAAAAAACCTAAACAGCAAAAACACCTCACCCTACAGAACTTGCATTCCAGTCTACAGTATCATCACAGCACTAACAGGTGCTTTGTAAAGCTTCACCTATCCCTTTCCAGAAAGTGCTCAGAATATTATCACTCCCTCTACCTTACTTGACCCAATGAAGGTGCTGAGGGAAGGAATATATGCATAAAGCAATGTAAGTACTAGGTACAAAAAAGTCTAATTGACAGAAAGATGAGCTACATGACAAAATCAGGAATTTATTTCACCTGTCGTAAAATGAGTATCACAGTATGATCCTGCAAAGGCAAATGCACCAACTCTTCGGAAGACTATCTACAGTAAAGAGGATAATGGGTACTAGAGTTCTGAGTGGTAAGCCAAGGATGAGATTCTTTCAACAGAATTGAATTAAATTTCGCTTTAGAGGTGCCCAACAGTTGGTGGCTAGCTATAATAGTACCTGCACTTACCTGTCTGTAGCAACGCAACAATCCTTGGATAGGAAATTACGTGGGAATTTCACGTGCTGATTTACACCAAGCTGAAAAACACCTTTTAAATTCTGTTTTTATACCACAGTAAAAAAGCAAGATTTGCATAACAAAATAATATATCTGTTCCTGATGAACAACATAAGCACAACCCACCCTCAAGAGCATGCATTCCAGATGGCAGCGTACACTGTAGTGGCTCAAAACCCACACAGGTCTGTAGCTCCTGATAAAACATTAGACCGCAGAAAACAACAAAATAGAGACTTAATTGTCACTGCTAGATAGAAGGGGGAAAGAAAAGCAAAATCAACTCTGAGAATAAGGGTGTGGCAAAATGAAGGCAATCAGCAGACTAGTTCAAAACAAGCAAGTGTATCTTACTTGATTTGTAAGAATCTTTGATAAGCAGATGAAATCCTACAATGCACATGAGTCTCCCTCCCCATTTGTCCTCTTCTTGAAAAAAACAAGTGCTGCAGGCAAGTTACGTCTTTCAAAACTCAGATGTTTGTGACTGTTCTTTGGGAAATCCTCTTAACGCAGACTAATTATCCTTACAAGCACTGTAGTGTCTAAGCAGAGAGTCAGGGTCCTCAGTCTACTGTACTTGGGCATCTCTAACCTTGTGCAATGTTCGTGTGGCAAACCAGGCTTGGGACACTTAGCACAGCCAATGTAAGACTTTGTTATGTCTTATAAGATCCTTTACATCTAAACACATCTGAAGGTTTCTAGAAAGAAGACAGACCAGGAAAGATGAAGAAAAAGAAAATTAAGAAGTGAACTACTGGAAAAAAGTGATTTACTAGAGAATTTCATAAATACATTTTAGATGTTGAGACCTGAGTAGATTTCGGAAAGCTGTTATGAATTGTTCTTGCTTTTGGAAAATCAAAACACAACTGATCAGAATCAAGTGGTTTATGATATGTATTGAGACCTCTTCTTTGGCCCCCTTAACTTCTAGCAATAACCTGACTTTCTCCTTTTCTTTTGCTTTTTTTTTTTAAGTGGACATCCCTGCGGTGTCTGCAGGGAATGGCAGTTTCGTAGCTATGCCTCTCAACAGCCATCCAGTGAGCTCCACCTCGCTAACCAACCAGCACGTGTCCTTTCCTGTTCCTGCTACCAACCCCTTGGAAAGAAGTCTCACAATTCCTGGGATGTACGGTACAGCTATGGGTGTGCACCTGTACACAGGTGGATTTATACGAGGAGAAAACTCTCTTATAAGTCTGGTCATTGACCATGAACAATGGCGGGGAAAACGAGTGTGGCAGCTGTTTCAATCGAGCACTTAAAAGTGTGGCACTTACTAAAAGAATGAAAAATATTCAAGGAAAATTAAAAATGCATTGCCCCTAATGAAACAGAATGAGCCTTTCATTTTATTGGTGAAGTCCAGATTAATAAATAAGAGAACAGAATTATTTACTATATGCTAATCTAAAGAAGTACTTACTTGTCTTAAGAAAAGGAAATCACAAGATTTTATTAATAAACTTTGGTTTACTTCTAATTTCTTTTTCATCCAGCAGTTTGTAAAGGACTGCAGGACAACTATATTTGCAATAGTAGAGCAAAATCAAGGCTGGAATTTTGTTTACAGCAAGTGAGTACTAATCCAAGCGATGGGCTGTGTAGCCACCTTCCCTTGATCACGCTGTGTGGAAGAGGGCGCCCATGCTACGCTGGCAAGTGCTAATGACAAAGACACAATTCAACACCTTTCACTGTTAAATCTATGCTGGAAAGGAACCAAAAAGCAGTGGATAAGTTAGAGGTCTTGAAGTATCTGATGCTAGCTGAAACAGCACAAAGTAGCAGAAGAAATTCTGTCACGCCTGCAGAAACTCAGAGCTGTGGCTGATTAAATTGCAAGCACTGCATCATCAAAAAAATTTCCTGGTGCAGGTTCAGAGGGAGGATGCTTGCTAGCTGCTTGTACAAGCTGCATGATGTGCAATTATGTGGGGAAGATGTAGTGCAAAGTGTGTGGTAAAATTAATTATGTACATAATATTTACACATTTCCTCTCTTCTGGTCCATACGTTTGCAGACTTTGCCTTAAGCACTTTTCCTTTTGGTAATAGAATATCTCTTTAGACTATTGAAAACCAGTGGTCGCTAACAGCTGGATAATCTCTTGTATTTCACGTTCATCGTGCCTTCTGAGTGTTTTTGTTTCATGAATTCTGTGGACCTCATGTGACCCTATGAATTCTGGTTCATAAACTCTCCACTGGGAATATTTGCCCAAAAGCTGCCGGAAAGGATAAACAGCTTTTAGAAAGCTGTTTTCTTTGCTAGCAACCTTTAGAAACCAGGAGCCTTTAAGAACAGAAGAGTAATTATTCTGCACTCATTTCAGGATCTTCAGCACCTTTGATTCCAGAGTGTCTACCTGTTGGCGTGAAAGGGAGCCAAGAGAATACAGGCTTAGCAGAGCCTCCTCAGCAGATACTTAACTTTGTTCTTGGAAATGGCACATCTGATGTTATATTATATCCAGGTAAGACAGATAACCTTTTATCCACATAAATGTGCAGAAAGTACTGGAAAATCAGTGATGTCAACAAAGTGCTAAATTCCCTCATTTCAGCTAGTGATAGCTCTGATAGGCTGAAAAATGTCATTTGTTTCTTGCCAGTGCTGACTTCTTCCACGGAAACATTGATATCCCCAAGTTTTCCAGTTAGTTTATGTGGTAAGTAGAAAATGAATTTTTATATATACAGTACTTTGGATTGGGAGAGGGAGCACGTTTCTTCTACCCAAAGCCAATTCTCCCCTCCAGGCTTTACTACTAATGACCTTATTGAGGAAAATAAAAATTAATTAGCAGCCAATCCAATGTGTTTGCTATGAAGCCCAGTTTCTGGAGGAAGTCTTCTTGTCTAGTTAAAACAATACAAAAGCCCAGTGTCCTTGAGCACCATCAGAAGTGGAAGTTGTGCTGGTACTGGCATGGCCTGAGCATCTTCTGAAGCCAGACTGCAGTCAGCTCACATGGGAGCCTCAAAACCAAAATGATGACGACTTATTTAACTAAACAATAAGGAAGCCTAATATACAGAAAGGCTTATAAAGGAATTGGAGCCTTAGTCAAGGTCTAACAGTCCCACCTGTGGTTGCAAACTTTCCTCAGGCACTTTTCTTCCAGCCCTCAGAGAGCTGTTGGAACAGGGAGTTTGATTTCAGCAGTAATCTGGTTTCAGATCGCTGCGTACCCTGGTGATTAGAGCTGCTCGCAGCTTAGTACCAGTGTTGTGTTGCCCTCTGGTGCCGAACAGCACCCCAAAGAGCAAAACTTTGATGTGGGGATCAATAGGCAAATACACCTGGGCTTGGGGAAGTATTTGTAAATGATATATACTGTTTATGTGAGTACACAATACTAGTAATTCCAACTGATTTACAACACGTGTGAGTACGTCACAAACCTCAGAATTCCAAATGCAGCAGAAAAATTTGCACATTAGCTACCAAGCCAGTCGCTTTTCCTGTTCAAATAGTTATTAACACCTGACTGATTTGACCAATGCTGCTTCCCATCTAAATGTCTCAGTACAGCTTTTCTCGGGTTTTCATTCTGTTGTATTTATTTAATAAAATAAATAGTAAACCAAAACCAGACCTTTGGACCTTTGCCTTAAAACAGGCATGTCTTCTCTTTATTTAGGATCTTAAGTCGATTTTTCTTCTACAAGGGGAGAACTATCTCTGTATCAAATGTATTCTTTCACTGGAAAAAGGACTTTCTCATTAGAAGTCTGGGGGTGCTTCCCTGCTAGAAGCAACTCTGAGCTGTAACCGTTCCATCTGTTGCTGGCATGCGGGGTGGGAAATGATTTCCAGATCTCTGAATCTTTAAGATTTGGGGTTTTTTTAAACCACATTCTACATCAAGATGAACCAAATATTATGGTAATAAACACACTTGTACAAATCTAGGGAGATTAACCTGTTTTGTTTGGGGTTTTTCTCTGATGTCTCTGCTGACTGTGGTTACCACGAGACTATTGATGAGGTTGGGTTTGTTACAGTCTCTGATAAATTTGAAGTCTGTCCTGTGTCTGCAAAGCTTTTCCTACCAAAAGTTTTGTCAAAACTGATACTCTGTCATTAGCAGTCTGTAGAAAAGATGCTTTCTCTGACAAATTCCTAATTTCTTTGTGGATGGCAGACACTGCTCATCTGACCAAGTGCAAATGTCTGCAGTACTTTGAACACAAACCAGCAAAAAGAAAAGAAAATTGGACAGTACTTTGTCAGGAAGAGTAATGGGTAAATTCTGTTACCAATAGTCACTTCTCTGTGACTTTCATGCTTAGTGCTTGGTTACAAGGTATAGAGTAACGAAAGGAAGCTGTTGCTTTTGATGGCATAAAGAAGCTGGAACCGCTGTCATCTAGTTTGGTGTCATGCTGCCTGCAACAGCTTGTGTCAGCTGAATTGTACCTGTGTGAGGATTTTTTCCTTTCCCTTGTAAAATACAAAAAATTCTCTGGATGATACATAATACATGTTGCAATGAACTTGCAAATTTGCGGAAGTATTATTGTTAAAATTAGTAAAGCTGAATCAATGACTATCTAGGTGTCTTCCTCAAGTATATTTTTCTGTTTCTTCAGGTTTAGAAACGTTCAAAGAAGTACGAGTTCCCATAATTCCTTCTGAAGAACCTTTCAAAAGACCAAGTGAGTTTAGCTCTCTTGAACTTAAAACTCCCAGTATTTTTGGCTAATTTTTCTATGTTTCTTTCCATACAGAGAAGCCATTTGTTGTAGGAGTTGTCGTTCAACAATTTGTGAAGCTGTTACAAGTGTCTGAGCACAATTCCTGTTTTTAAGATGTTAGACTTGTCTACCTTTAGATATCTAGCAGTAGCACCTACTTAGAAGGCCAGTGTACTTAGACAGTTTTATCATATGTGTAGATACCTCCAGAATTATTCAGTTCATAGGTCTAAAAGTGTCTGTTGTGCCTGCACTCCTAATTTAAGTACCATATTACAATCATGTACTGAAACCATCACGAAGCAATGTTGTGATTTGCGGATTGGTTTCTTCAGTTTGTGTGTGCTTTTTATTTCTGTAGAGCCAGTGGAAGCTTTCCATACATCACTTATGGATTATTTCCGAGACGTGTGCAGATCTGTGGCCATGGAGCGTGAAATAGCTCTTGATCACCTGTTTATTGATGAGACACTTGTTCAAAACCAAACTGAAATGAAGACTGGGAAGAACAGTGTAAAAGCAATGGAAAAGGAGCTGATAACTTGCAGTCTGCAAGGGAAGGAAAAGGCAGCCCTTAAAAGAAGCCAAATATTTCAAGTCCCAGGAGGTAAAGACTTAGAGACTAAAGTGATTGTGGTGCTGGGAAAAGAAGGAATGGGCAAAAGCATTCTTGTTCAGAAGATCTGCCAGGACTGGTCCAATGGAGAGTTTTCTCAATTTGAATTTGTATTTTCGTTTGACTGCAAACAAATAAGCTTGCCTGAGAAGCGATATAGCCTGAAGGATCTGCTGCTTGAATTCTTTGTAAAACCTCAAGAGGGAAGCAAAGAGATCTTTGAGTATATCTTGCAAAATCCTGCTAAAGTCCTTCTGGTTTTTGATGGCTTTGAAGGGTTGCATGATCATGAAAATTTTCCTCGTTGCTTGGCCAGCCAGCCTGAAAAAGACTTGTGCAATATAAAGGATCTGCTTTCAGGACTGATCCAAAAAAAGATACTCAATGGTTGTACTTTATTACTTACAGCAAGACCAAAAGACAAGGTGTACCAGTATGTGTCCAAAGTGGATAAGACTATTGAAATGGCAGGATTTTCCCCTCAGCAGAGAGAACTGTACATAACCAAATACTTCAAAGGATTACCCTACTGTGATAATGCACTGAAATTAATCAAAGAGCGTGAGTACTTGTTCAGTCACTGTTACAGCCCTGTTATGTGTAGATTTGTTTGTTTTCTCTGTGAGATGGTACTTGAAATGGGAGACAAAAGCCTTCCTTCAACTCTTACTACAGTCTTCCTGAAATTTGTTCAGCAAAAGATAATACCTATGCAAACAGATGTTACAGCCGTGCAAAATCAAGAGAGTCTTTCTACGCTAGCCCGCTTAGCCTGGTGTCTTGGAGAAAAGCACCAAAGTGCCATGAAAAGTGATCTTCTTCCTTCTAAGGAAGTTAAAGAGTTTGCTCTGAAATATGGATTTTTCCTGCCATTTGCATTCCCCAAACACTCAGATACTGGAGAAGAGGAATTTGGGAGCACATTCTCTGATTTTGTCATTCAGAATTTTTTGGGTGCGCTTCACCTTATGTTAGCAGAAGAGATCAAGGATAAAAGCCTAACAAAGTACCTGTCTTTTCCATCCAAGAAGAAAAAACCTTATAACTGGTTAGATTTAGTGCCTCGATTTTTGGCTGGATTGCTGTTCCTCCAGGATGACCCCTACTTCTGCTCCCTTTCAAATAAGGATGTAAAACAATCAGCTAAGAAGCAGAAAACACTCTTGAAGTATATTAGAAGGCTGCAGATAAATGAGCTCTGTCCGGAGAGGTTACTTGAGCTTTTACATTGTATTTATGAGGCACAAAGCGATTATCTTTTCCAGCACGTGGCCTTAAGGCTCCAGCCAGACCTGTCTTTTCTGGGCATAATTCTTACACCACCTGATGTCCACGTACTGCACTCTATTTTAAAATGGTCAAGAAAAGAGTTTTCCTTGGATTTGCGAAACAGCAGAATTGACATGCAAGGGCTGAAAGACTTGGCTGGCCTAAAGAACGTGGCGTCATTCAGGTTGGTCATTCTCTGTAGATAGTGGTGTCACTCCTAGGATTGTGTGTCGATGACACTTTGATGCAACAACAGCAGTCAGCATACCTGTTGATTTCACCTGTTCTGTCACTTCGCAGGGCCTCCCTCAGTGACACGGTCAGGCTCTGGAAATCTTTAGAACAGACAAAAGACTACGAACTGCTGAGAGCATCAACAGAGAAATTTGTTCTTGATCCCTTTAAGGCAAAGACAATGAAGGACATCAGTGACCTTTCAGACCTCGTAGAGATGCAGGAGAGGATGATCAGTTGGTAGGCTCATTTATGATCAAAAGTCCTCTTAACATGCTAGCAATTTAAGAAAATGGGGGTTCACTGACAGTGCGGGAGAACAGAGTCCTCTGCTTGTCCAAAGGAGAAGTACCTCGGGCAGTGCAAGCTCCTGTGTCATCTCGGAGCATTCTCCTACCCGGCGGTGTGGTGGTGGTCACGGCAGGGCGGAGCAATGACAGCCCCAGGAAGAATATTTGTCAAAACTACCAATAAAAAGCCAGCTGTCATTTTTTTCTTCAGATTTCTTTTTAATCTCGGAGTATGCTCTCCTCCAGTTGCTGTCAGTTACAGAACTTGAGGTAACTGATTTCCCCCCCACCCCGTAGCACTGAGGCCATAAACGAAGGCTTGTTTTGCACCAGTCACGAATGACCCGAGTCCGTCCTTTATCTCAGGAGGCACAAGCTTGCATCATGTGATCTATAAACCCTGTGTTTCATCCCTGCTCGTGATGTGGCTAGGGGATTAGTTGCCATTAAAAGCATGCATAGATGTAGTATTTTGGTTGTGTTTTTTTTCAAATAGAAGTTGTGAGTTCTGTTTTAACACGGGCAGAGTATTTTGATTAAAATATACACAAAAAGCAAGTTTCATGTTGGACAGAAAATGCTGGGTTTAAAAGAATGTATTTGTAATTTTTACTGGAACAAGAGCAAACCACTACAATATGAAAGGCAATTATCAGATTGAAATGAATTGAATGAAGAAAGGTTGGAGAAGAAGTTATTCAGAAGTTCCCTGGTTCTGCAGTTAATTCAGCAGTGGTTTATTTCTTGTAAAAGTTTACTAAGAAATAATTTTTAAAGCACCATTTTTGTTGCTAAAGTATTTCTTACACTCTGGTTCTACTGTGATTTATTTAGTGTGCAAGATGCATCTGGTTGCAGCAGCTATGAAATTCCTGCTATCAAAAACCTCAGAAAACTAGAATTTGCGTAAGTGATACACCTCTCTGTTGATTGATCTATAATTACATTTAAGGCTGAGAAGAGTCATGGGTATCGGCTACAGTCGTTGAACTGATGTATAGTTTGTTTATGGCAAAGCATTAAGTAAACCCCGTCTATTTCTATTTCGCTTTTCTCAGCTAGATTTATTAAGTTATGGCCAAAACTCAAAAATACATCATTTCTGGCTCCTGCAGGGATACAGGTCAACATGCTTCTATCAATTTTGTTTGGTTTTGCTATGAGTTAGCTCCTTAGTAGCAGATGCAGATCTTGTGCCACAGGGTATAAAATATCTTGATTGGGATCCAACTACCTGGGAGATATTTTTTTCTCCAGAAGTGCTCAATTTTTCTCTCTGAGTCTTCTGATGTAATTTTCTGCCCTATCAGAGCTTAGGCCATGAGACAGTAAGATCAGAGAACACCTCCCTATTAAAATGTGTAGCACCATTTTCCTGGAAGAAGGAAGACTGACTTGGAAACACTGACTTTAAATATGAGGTGTAGTAACATTTCTTTTTTCCCCCAAACTGTAAGCAGCCTCCAAGGCTATTCTATGGCTTAAAATATCCTGCCATAGCCTGTGAATTAATCTGGGCTGAAGTTTCACCAGTGCAGTGGAGAACTCTCATCAGGTCTCCATCTGTCTCCTGCCCTCCACATCTGACCCCGTCTTGAACTGCTGTGCTTGGCCTCCCATCTGATTTTATGCTGCTTCCTCTTGTCCTTTCCTCTCCTACTTTCCCTTTGGTTTAAACTTTTGTAAAATTCGGTCCTTTTAACTTGGCTGAACTTGTTGTGATACCAAGGAAACTCCAAATAAAAGGTTAGCATCTGAGGGACAAATGCTTGGAGCTGGATTATTAAAAATAAGTTTATGCTTTAACCTGCAGTAAAGCATTGATCATAAGTTCATCTGAATTGCTGGGATGGGGGGTGGGGGGGGGAAGGTGTGATGTGGAACATTTTTTTTAATCTCTGTTATGAAGATCATAATACTTACAATGAAAACCCTGAAAAAAGTAGAAAAAGAACAGATATATAGGAATCTAAAATAAGTGAGATGAGTCTTGCAAAGAGCAACAAAAAAAGAGGCAAACGCACACACTGCTGCTTCTGTGCTGGCAGCTCTGCCCTGTCTGACCGCAGCCTTGCCGGGTTCTCATCTGGAGGCTTCAGAGCAGAAATCCTCACTGCGGATTGCCGGGAAGGGCTGCTTCTGAGGAGTGTCAACTATCTTGCATTTGGGGCTGCAGGGCAAGATCTTAAAAATTAATAACTTTTGCTGTTTCTGAGCATGTGAAAAAACTGCTGCATGTCTATGTTTTCTTCCAGACTGGGTCCAGTATGTGGCCTACGGGGATTCCTAAAACTCGTGGAAATCCTTGCAGCATTTCCATCACTTCAGCATTTAGAGTGAGTAATGCTAAAGATTAACTTTCCTCACATTGATCTTCAGCAGCCCTTGGTGGTGGGGGAGCTCATGTACCCAAGAAATACTTTATTTGCCAACAAGACTACTTGCTTTGATGAACAAACCGAACAGCAAAAACACTCAGAGAATAGAACAGCAGAATGAAAGCTAGTGCTCTGCATCTCCCCTAAGACACTTGGTAGCAGTTTGTTCGATACCCCTTCAGTCACTTCCCTGTGCGCTTACGAGCTGGTGGGAGAGGTTTAGCACAGAGCCCCGCGGGGCGCTCCCCCTCCCTGCCACGGCACGGACCAACACTGCTTGTGGGTGACTTATTTCTCGTCCCGTTCCACAACCTGCCCGAGCCCCGGCTCCCTCGTGTTGAGGTTTCTGAGGGACTCGCGGTCGTGCCTGCCCCAGGAGAGAACAGGCTCCCTCCCAAACCAGAAATAGCGATAGTTTCGGGGGCTAACTTCAGTATTGGTGCCAGTGCTCTGCACCTCCCAGTGTCAACGGACAACCTGAACTTCTGGTAGAACTTGTAAGAGATGGAGCTTCGTGGATTTGATTCATATAAAAGATATAAAAACGCCATACTCAGCCAGCATGTGGTTTTGTTCTGCCCGCGTGTTTTCACACAGTCTTTGTCCCTTGCTTTACCAGGAGCAGTATTAGAAATGGAGCTTTAAGAACTCCGGTTACCATTTATTCTCTTGTATCCATGACAAACCAGCTGTCTCTGAATTTTAAGCTTCTTTATGCTAGAAACAATAGTCAATATTCTGCGGCCAACTCTGTGGGAAGATTACTGGGTTTCGAGAGGGCCTTTGGCCTTACTGGCTCAGCCCATCGTCCATTTGTCTGTATTGTGTCTGGCCTTTTAATGATGTTTTGGGAAAACAAAAAAGCTCTAAAATGGGAATTAGACCGATATATCCCAGCGTTGTCGGCCAGATTAGCAAGGGATTCAGTATCCAAAATTGTGACTATTTAAACCTCTTTCCATCTGGATACCTGAATGAGGAAAAACTTCATTTCTAACCGTCCCTATCTGGAGAAGGAGCTGTTTCGGCAGGGATTTACAGCCTCTGCTAGATTTTGTCAGTTCTGTATTTCTGTGTGTGCAGGCAATCTCACTTCAGCATAGCTGGAACACAGCTATTTCATAACCCTTTGACTAATCTCCAGTGTATGGTGGAAGCAAGTCATTAAGTGCAACCATTTGCATATCAAAGGAAATGGGTCAAGCCATTCAACTAGTAAAAAGAAAAACAAATTCTCAGGCTGTAAATTTGGGAAGCAGAAAGCTGCCTATTAGAAAAGCTGTAATTTGTGTGGTGCTTCTTGCTGATTGAGGCTACTGCAGGGAAGGAGCTTCTCAAGATAGAGTGGTCTCTGAGGTGAATAAACCACAACAATTTTGATTAAAAGGGAAGCTAATTCTCTCTTTGTCATCACCCAGCCTTGATGCTCTGAGTGAAAATGGCATAGGAGATGAAGGAGCAAAGAGTCTGTCTGAGGTCTTTCCAACCCTGACATCACTGGAAACATTAAAGTAAGTGCAAGTTTAACAGTTCTGGGAAATTTTGAAAAGAAACAGATTAAATCTAGAGCCTTGTGGGACTGTGTGTTAACAATTATGGGCACAACTAACCCACGGGCATGGGAGACCAACGAGTCTTTGGACATACTTAATCTGTACATTCCTTAGAGAAATAGGTTAGTTGTATGGCAGTTCCTCATCTCCATTCAAGGGCCGTAATTTCTCTTTTTCCCTCCATTTGGTCCAAACAGACTGTCCAAATTATATAAAAAAAGACATTTAAAATGAGTTTTCCCCACATTGTAAGAAATTAGAATAAAAGTGCTCAACTAACAAAGCAATCTCCCTTACTGTAGCTTATCGCAGAATAAGATAACAGATGTGGGTGCGGAGAAATTAGCTACAGCTCTGCCTTCGTTGTATTCATTAAAGACACTAAGGTAAGTAGTTGTACCTTGTTCAGTTGTTTCATACAACATAGTTTGCTATCTCTGTCAGACATTACCCAGCATGGAACAAACCTGTACGCTGTGCAGTAGCCAAGCTTTTGACTTCTCTCTAAGGCTTTATGCAAGAATGGAGAGGAGAGAAATGCATGGCCCGATGCAGACACACAGAGGGATATCTCAAGAACGTAATGAGGACTTTACTGATTTTTAATTCCAATGCATAATATTCATTTATGAATAATACTCTGTACAAATGTGCACCCAGGGCCACTGATCTACAGCAAGCTTAATGCGGAGCTTGATAAGCACCGTGCTAAGCCCTAAGCTAGCAACGAGTCGGCGTGTGTTTGCTGACAGGGGACCGATGGCGCATCCCACTGCATTAAAATGTCTGGCACAGCCCGAGTGAAGTGTCTCGGGAGGGAATGCAAGAAACCATCCTGTGCAAGTCCAGAATAAATTGCTTACATGGAAGTCTTCTGAATGCTGTGCCCCAGATCTTTGAGCTTCTTTTTCTTGCAGATTTTTAATTTGCTCTAATGTAGACAGAAATGTTCTCATTTTTCATGAAGAACAACCTATTTTTGCCATAGCTGTGCTAGCTGAAGAAAGGATGGGGCCATTTGCCTTACTCGATCCGGAAAATATGGAACTGTGTTTTAAACATTAGCTGCAAATAGATCAGGATAAATTGGAAGTTAAGATGTACCAACCATATCTGAAATTCCTTGATCTAATATGTGATCTGTTTACATTATCCGTTAGTCAATTGTGACTGTACCGGTTTGGTTTTCTGCAGCTTATACAATAACAGCATTTGTGATTTTGGAGCAGAAAATCTTGCGAAAGTTCTCCCAGAGATGGCATCTTTAAGAGTGCTAGAGTGAGTATGAAACCTTTTGAGATGGCCCAGGAAAGCTTACTGACTTGGTAACTGAAAATTCAAATCTTCCGTGCTTCAGGTAGAGGAGACAGAATTTGAGGAAGGAAACTTCACAGGGAAAATTGCTTAGGCAGAGTCCAGATAGTCAGTGGTTAGAAAGGATTAAGGAGCAGTGCACCATAAAAAAAAAAAAAAAAAAGGGGTTTAAAATGGGGGAAAGGGGGCCGGGGGGGTGGGGAAA